AGTTGGTAGAGCTTCTCGAGCCATGGGTACGCCTTGGCCTTGGAGGACACCCACGGTGCCATGAATCTAACTGCCTCATTGTTCAATTGTAGGTATGATTCCCAACTCTAACTGTAAAGTTGTATCAAGCTTCGTTCTACATCTCTTTCACCAAAAGTTAGTTTTAATTTCCTTCATATCTCAAGCACATCAAATAAAAACCAAATGGTTTTCATTTCCTCCTAAACAATTTCAATTTTACTTTTAGTTTTTATTTTGGTGTTAAGATAGAGGATATAAATATGGGAGAAATGAGGAAAATATAAGAGAGGATTAGGCCCTAGACAGGATAATGGATGATGAGAACATAAACCAATTTTAAGCTTTCATTTTCAAGAATTTTTTTTTATTTTTTATTTTTTCTTCACCTCCCTCTCTAACCCCCCTTCTTTTATCTATTATTTCTCCCATATAATTTCCCGACATCACAAGAAAAAGAAAATACAAACAAAAAATGAAATGATTATCAAATAGATGTTATATGAATTTTATGACCCTTATAAATCTTGTTATTGTTGAGAGTTATCCCACATCGGTGAGAGGGACAGGGTTTGCTATGGGCTTGTATGGTCTTGGGCTACTCTCCATATTGTCAATTGGTTTTATGGTGGAACCTCAATTTCATCATGGTATCAAAGCGGGATGTCCTCGTGTGAAGCCAAATGGCCACACGCGTTCCACGTCACCTAATTGTTGTCCACATGTAGGCTTGAAAATCTGCCACACGTGCGGGGAGTGTGTTGAGAGTTATCCCACATCAGTGAGGGGGACAAGGTTTGCTATGTGCTTATATGGTCTTGGACTACTCTCCATATTGCCAATTGATTTTACAGGGGAACCTCAATTTCATCAGCTATTACTTAACAAGGAAACCAATGAGCGTCCATGCAACTCCACGATGTGTAATTAAACAACTTTATTTGCCCACGCTCTTATGTAAATTTTCAAAGTTTCACCGTGTGGAAGTTGTTATCTTCAAAGCTTGAAATGGTGAAAAGAAGGCTTCTCATCAAGCCCTTGAGAAACGAACTTGCCATGGTATTAAGGATGGTTTCAAATGATGATGTATCACAATTCCAATTTTACAAAAATTTTAATATAGTAGTGGAAAGTGGCAAATTGATAAGAAAAATATAAGTACATGATAGGCGGGAGAGGTTTTTTCGGTTTGAATATATGACAGAGTAAGAGCACTATTGCTGATATAATATTTGATATGGAGTATAAGTAGAATGAATGTATGTTGAATATTAGATATATATATTTTCTTCAAATATAACCTGTATATATTATATAATTGTAGTCTGCAACTAAACAAACAAATTACTGGAGTGGGGAAATCTACTCCCAGTGAGCCTTCATTGGCTCTGTCCATGTATATTTTACCTTATTCTTGGTATGTTTTGGTAATCATTTTGGTAGAATTTTGATACTTTGATTTATATTTTCAATATAGGACATCTGAATTCCTCTGGACCAAAACATAATCAAATAGACGAACTTTGGAGTGATTCAAATTGGAGAACGTTTGTGTGTCTCTTGGCATATTTGTCAAAATTTAGGATTTTTCTACCAAGCAGTTATTTTCTGGTGATACAATAAAGTAGCAGTGCGCAGTACTAGAAAATGACGTTTTTGGATTTAAATTGCGTTTTTGGAGCCCAAGATGACCTCTGATGGGTTTGTGACCTTCTGGAGAAGTGTTCAGAATATTCCAAACCTTAAATGCAGCAATATTGGACCAGTTTTGGAGCAGTTTTAAAGGTCCAAAACGTGGCTGTTCAGATTTTAGTCGAATTTTATCATTTAATTTAGGGTTATGTTTCCTATTTTATTTTAGTTATTTAGTTTCCTAGTTTGATTGGAAGACCTTTTATTAGGAGGATTTAATTTCTACTAGGTTAAATAAGTTTGGCCGCCCTATTCCTAGGGTTAACTTCTTCTCCATTCGTTCTTGAAGAGAGGGAATTGGCCAAGCATAGAGATTTTTAGACTTTTTCCATTCTAGGTGTTTTGATTATATGCATGCAGGTTTTCGAATTATTGATCATTGGTTTAAACCATCTAATTTTCTTGATGCTTGATCACCATTAAGATGTTTAAAAAAGTAATTTGATGCAATTTTGATTGGAGGTTGGTCCCTGAAATTGACGAAAGCTTCTTGTGATTAATATGTGCAAGTTCACTTAGGATGAAATACCACATCTTGAGGGTTGCATGGTTTTTCAACAGGTTTCACAAAACTTAATGAGTCATGCATGTTTAGATTTGATATGAATACCACAGACAGATTGCACATTTGATATACACTCTATGTTGGGGGTCAAAGTAGGCATATATTAGAAAAACCTAACCTTCAAAATATGCATGTGTAAGTCATAAGTAATTGAGATAACTATATAGAATTGTTAAGGTGACGGCGGATCCCTAGTGCTTTCTTAAATTGATTTCTCCAAAACTATTTCCTTTTTCTTCACCTTTAATATTGCAGATTCGTTTAATTTTATTAATCAATTTCGTTTTAATTTAAGTAGGTCATAAAAATCAATTATCTCAAATTTCTGCTTTACAATAGTTAATTGGAATTTGGTTTGCTTCAATTTATTTAATAATCCCTATGGAAAACGACTTTGCAGGAACCATTACAATATCATTGCCATTCTTGCAAGTATTATAGGTGTTTTAGCCCTTTTGGGTGTGTGTTAAAATCCCTATCAGAGATCGATGACAGGAATTTGCATGTTGGGTGGGTGACACGTGGCAAACTGGGTTTGCTCATTGGGTGGAGGTGGACGGATGAATATCTTGGGTACATTTACTGTGACAGCATCAACGAGGCCCTTCACACCCGCTTTTGCATCATCGAAAGCTTTTATCTCAGTGGCTCGGTCGTATTCTCCACGCCCTACAAGTTTGATATCCATGAACTTTTGAATACTGGAAAGCTTGATAGTGTGATTTTCAAGGCCTCTGGCTTGCTTCAAGCTTCAACTACTGGGTGGATAAGTAACATTCTTTGTTATGTGGTTTTCATCCGGCCAGACAAGTCAACGAACGACCTTTCTGCTCACTCTTTTAATAATGAGGCATATCCTATTTTCTGTAAACTTTATTTTTATGTTGTCATTTATTTTTCTCGATGATCTGTATATTAATAATAAGGTAAATTTGGTGAAACATTTATATGTGAAACATACCCCTCTCATTTTACAACTTTTAACAAAACAATTTAATTACCTAATGACAAATTAGTAAAATAATAAAAGTAACAAAATAAAACAACCATGGTCAATTCAGTACCATTGGATAATATTGTACGGCCTGTATCCTTCGATTAGGCTGGATGAGTCTGAGCGGGTTATCAAAAGTGTCTTCTTAGGTACGAAGTTAGTAAATAGGTGCATTCAAGTAAAATACTGTGTGTGGTTGCACTATTAGCCAAACAATTAGCTTCCTCACTAATCATACCTAGGAATAAATAAATTAAATTGGTCACAAGTATAAATATCCGAAACATAAATTCCATTCAATTAATCATTCGAGAAAATAATCCATAAAACTTAATATCCAAAAATTAAAACAACCACCAACAAATTCTTCAAACATAAAGGAAATTGTTCAAAACTAGAGGGTTCTGCCACATAGGGAATTTGGTCCCTATGGGTAAATTTTGGCCAATATGTGGGCCCATATCTAAGAATCTATTCTTCCATTGGAGTAGATGCTTCTTGTGTCAGAAACCTCCATCTTCGTACCTCTAGTTCCACCACTCGAGTAAAGCTTCATTCAAACTTCTTACGACGATAATGATAGTCAGCTACGACCTTAGGAAGAGCTTGGCAAATACTAGATCAATGGTCCTTCACACCATAGTGGTAGCACATATCGCATCCATGGTATCGGGTGCTTTGCCCTTATTCTTGATGTTTGAGGTCTTGGGAACGAGGTATACACGCTTCGGGCACATAAATTCACTAAGTTTTCAAAATTGATCTCTGTTTTACTTCTTACTGAAAAGCAGAATTAGGTGTTGATGAAGAATCATCAAGCTTGACCTACAGGCTTGACCGCTATGCTTGAAGCATACATTAGTGAGAAACGACGCCCGAACAACCATTCTAGGCGTGGTAGGCGCGACTAGAAGTCGTCCCACCAATGTCAACAAGATGAAGGCCCATGCAAGAGAGGGACATGTCTGGGCTCTGTGGCGTCACAGGCAAAGAGGCAAATGGGGTAGCAACAGGAGTGGGCCACTGCAGGCAGACCAGTGGGCAAAACCCAAAAGAATTTTTATTTTATTTATTTTTTTCTTCTTCTTCACTTCGAGTTGAGGGTGCATCAAGCCCAATTGGGCTCGAGAGGTCCAAAACATCCTAGCATTTTTTGGGTGTGGTCATTGGAGAAGAAGGCTAGCATCGCTGCTTTGGGAAGTTGAGTTTTAGGATGGGGGCCTTGATGCGAGTTCGGGGTTCAATAAAGAACCTTGCATTTGTGACTGAGAAGGGTTCAAGCTTGGAGCAACGGAGCCCCAACTTGACTCACGACTCAACTTCAGCAACTTAGGTTGCTAGCCATGAGTGTTGGTGGCTCAACGACGCGACTTCGAGTCGCTGCTCATCGGATTTTTGAAAACAGATATTCAATCAAACACAATACCAATTCCTATAATTGCAGTATTATGGATATAATGCATAAACAATTATGTAGAATCTAAAATTTGTAAAACGTAAAGATGGCTCATGCAGTATAGTGAGGGTTCATGCAATCAAGGCTAAAAAAATCTTGACATTAAAACCTTTTTTTTTTTGGGAAGAACCTAGATTGCATGATGATCTTGATGAACTAGTTTGTAGTAGAAATTCTCCATCAAATACCGTAGCACAGCATAGGAGCGTACTGATGACGTGTTGTGACCTATATTTAACTGAAGGAGAAGAGGGGTGTGGAAGCAAGACACACAATGGAGAAATTGTAGGGATCCTTGTGTGTGTTCTGATTCCTCCGCACAATGCCTTTATTTATAGTAGATAATGAGTAGATGATCAACTTGTCCTCAAAGTAAATACAATCCTATAAAAATTCACATTGAATATAAATTCATACATCTTCCAAATCCCTTGTTTTTACCTTCGACATTTGAAATGTGTTAGTGCAGAGTTCCCGTCAAGCCCTTTTCCTTCGTAGTACGAAATGAAGTCTTGCAGTGAGGTTTCCCTGTACACAGGTGGATGATCTTCTGATAACAAATTCTTAATGGGGCCGTACAACCTTGTGGATGGGTAAAGGTGAAGGGTGAAAAAGCACGCAATGGATACTCTAGGTCCTCCATAGTTGGCAAGCACTTGATGTTCTACGCTCTTAAATCTGTCATTGGATATAAGCTGCAAGAACACAATAAAACAATTTACAAGAATCCAACAACAAATGGTTTGACATATATAGTTGTACAACATGTTGCACATGTCAAAAAGTACATGGTGACTATTTTGAAGTGCTCATATAAGCCCAGCCTACAATGAAGAACCCAATTAAAATGTTTGTGGCCTAGATAGAATAAACCAAGAGTAATTACTATTAGAGGCACTTGGCTTAAATCTAATTACCTTCTAAGCTTGGCCTACTTCCAACTAAATTTTATGTTTATTTCTTGTAACATTTTATTCTATCAATGAACCTTATGTTCGACTCCAAAATAAAAATGTACTTAATGAAGTGCTTATTAGCAAATTTGCAGCCAACAAGTATTACATCTAATGCAATGCTGCTAATATGCATGTTAGAGTTGTTAAGAAGATATGTAAGAACTAGAAAGGCTTGCCTGCAAGATATCTCCGATGTTGACTATTAGAGCTCCCGGCACAAAAGGAACATCAATCCACTGGTTTTGACACAGAACCTGGAGGCCACCAATATGATCCTGAAGTAGGATGGTAAGGAAATCTGGATCTGAGTGTTTGGTAGTGCCCATAGTTAGTTCAGGCTCAGGGCATGGCGGATAGTAGTGTGTGAGAATAAGATGTCCGTTTGCACAATCCAAGCTTAGAAGGTGATCAGATTTAAGCCCAAGTGCCTCTGATAAAAATTCAAATAAAGTAACACCTAATTTGTGAACGTGGTTTGAGTACTCCATGGTAATGTCTCTGCAAATTAGACACAGAAAATAAAATGCAACAATTGGGATGAGAATCATTTGTCATATCCATTTCGCTAGACCAAAATTTTAAGTACTCATAACTCTTACAACAACAGAAGGCAGATGCTATTGTTCAACTAAACTTTAGTCTTGACCCCCAAGCAATCTATACAAAGAAAAAACGACTCATGTCCATTTGATGTTTTTGATTTGTCATGCATATTTGGCTTAGAGACCATTTGATGTTTTTTATTTGTCATGCATATTTGGCTTAGAGAAGACTGGGGATGCATTTGGTCTTTAGATTATAAATATCAAACTTTGTTTTTCGAGGGGACTAGTGTGGATGCAAATTTCCGCCTTCTTTTTCTTAGACGAAAATGCACCTACAAAACAATTAACACCTAAGATCAAGGCCAAGAGCCTCATACGCCCACGATGAATGGGGGGACTTTGGCCGAAGAATCTCCGATGTCAAAGTTAGAATTTGAGAGAGAAAGTGTTAAGAGAATTTTAAGAGAAGAATGAACTTAGGTTTTTGGAAAAAATTAGGAGCTATATATACTGGTGTGGCCGGCCCTATTTGGAGAAATAGGGACCAGCCACTTATGGTGGAAATTGGCTCTAATTGCAAGATATTATACCAAAATAATATCTTGCAATCAATTAGGTAATTAATCAATTAATTTGGCAATTATTCTCAATTTGAAAAGAATAATTAGGAATTACCTTATGGGTGAAGATTTGATAAGGAGTGATGACAGGGTTTTAAACGAATATCATTTTGATCACTTTTGACCTCGATTGAGCAGTCATTGTTCGTTGTATGCGCGTGAGAGTCCTGATGTGCCTCAGGAGTAATTTTGTATTTTTAACCCCAAAAGTCTACGTGTCGCCTCTATAATTTTCTTGGTTAGTTTTTGCTCCACAACTAGAATATTAGCATCTTCCTGATGTACTTTTATGCGTAATGGAAAGTGAATTCTAACCAAAGTATCAAATATCCACGTCGTAGACGAAAGCTAAAAACAAACAATCTCAAAAGAACATGAGATTACGTGGTTCGGCATGAACACCTACATCCACAAGTGAAGCACAACGAAAAAATTCACTAAACAAATGAAGATAACAAAAAAGTGTTTTAACTCTCAACACCACTCAAATAGACTTGGCATTCGTGTCGTGTTTTCCGAGTTTGTGTCGTTTTCGTGTCATACACGATATCTTAATGGCTCGTGTCGTGTAATACCCGTTAAAATAAACAGGTAAAATGACCAGATCCAAAATCAACCCGATAATATTAACAGGTAATATGACCCGACCCGTTACCCGTTAAGGAAAATATATTTTAAACCAATAAATAATCAAATGAAAAACATAATACTAAATAAGTATATACATATCATATTGTCACATCCAAAACATAAAAACACATTTTTCTTTTAAGTATATTTTCACTTACCTAAAGTCTTTAATAGTTTTTTAATTAATGTAGAAGTGTAAAAAATATAGAAAAAAATATATAAACGCTCATAATGACAAGCTTTACAACTTTCATGAAGAACTTAACTTCGAAATTCGCCACTATAATCATATAAAATCATAGATCAAAATTTAACCGTTGATTGTTGTTTACATTTACGCTTCATTGTTCTCATCAAATTTTATTTTTTTCAGATTTTGTTTTTTGAAAACTTGATCTATTAGAGGATGCAGGAAGATGAACGGTTTGGATTGTTGATATTATATTCAGAGTTTTATGGTTAGTGAAAATATTGCTTGATGTTTATAAAGTTTCTACAAACTATATGACATTGACTCATATTTCAATTAACTGAAAATATCAAAACGTGATATCAAAAATATGAACAGTTCATCTTCTTACATCCGCAAGATGATCATGTTTTCAAAAAAGAAAATTTAAAAAATGAAATTCAGTAAGAAAAATATAGCGTAAATGGCAATCGACGGTTAAATATAAATTTAAGGTTTATGAACTATAGTGTTGGATTTCAAAACTGATCCATTCATGAAAGTTGTAAAGTTTATCACTATGAGTGATTGTATATTTTTTTTACATTTTTTACACTTCTACAATCATTATTATTAATTTTATTAATTTTTCCCTCAAATAAAAAACATTATTCATGAAGGTTTGGAGGATTTTAAAAATCTAAACGATAATGTAAGTATAACAATTATCTACTCGTTGAGGAATAATGATGAATCACGAGTGTTTACATATTCTTTCACATTTTTCATACTTGTATGTATGTCTTCTTAGTTCTTGCCTATACAAATACTATATTAGTTTATTTTAATTTTGGACAACATGTTAAGTAAAATTTATCCTTGTAATGATAATAAAGAACTCTCAAAATAAAAATAAATAATGCCTAAAATTGTTGGTCTTCAACGAGGAATTCCTAGTAAGCGCGAGTCATCAGCTCGCGTTGACTACGTCCCTGCCCTTTGTACACACCGCCCGTCGCTCCTACCGATTGAATGGTCCGGTGAAGTGTTCGGATCGCGGCGACGTGGGTGGTTCGCTGCCCGCGACGTCGCGAGAAGTCCACTGAACCTTATCATTTAGAGGAAGGAGAAGTCGTAACAAGGTTTCCGTAGGTGAACCTGCGGAAGGATCATTGTCGAACCTGCACGGCAGAACGACCCGAGAACCCGTTTCAACGTCGGGGGTCGGCGGGCCTCCGGGCCCGGCGTCCCCTTCGTCCCGGGAGCCCGCTCCCGGGCGTACAAACTTACACCGGCGCGTGTTGCGCCAAGGAATCTGAACGAAAGAGCGCGCTCCCGCCGCCCCGGAAACGGTGCGCCGGCGTTTTTCTAAAACTTATATAGAATAATAATACAAAACTATATATTTAATATAGAATATATTGTATATATTAATATGGCTATTGTATTTTATAATAAATCTTTTAGTAATTAAACTTTAAAATTATCAAAATAAATTTTTTCTTAATGGGTCGAAACGGGTTACCCACATGTTACTTGCGTGTATACCCCTAATTAACTGGTTCTTAACGGGTCACCCGACAGTGACCCGATAAGTTATTATGTTGACCCGAAACCTGTTATTTTCGTGTCGTGTCACCGTGTCGTGTCAAAAATTGCCGGATCTACACCCAAATCCCACAAATTACATACCCTACACCAAACAAGTAGAAAACTCGAAGAAACATAGAAGAGAGAAAACTCATGACTCCAAACGGTTACCTTCACCCAAAACCAAAAGAGAGAAAACTCTCTAAACCAATGATGACAACACATAAAATAAACTCAACCCTAACGTCCTATTTATAGTGCATAGGACTTAGGTACAATGACAATCCTAATTCTACCTGGAAGTAAATCTAAATTCTAATCAAATAGCTAATTAACAAAATCTCTCCACCAAATAGGTCTAACCAAGAAATCAAATCCAGTACCCAAATAGGACACCAAACGAAATAGGTAACATAAATCTATTTTCTGCATCATCCTAATTTTGAGTTGTAAATCACAACACTTCTGATACTTGATAGAAAAGTATCGAAACATTAGGATTACACAGGATACAGAATCTGATATCCAATGATGAAGTCATTTGGTGGTGGTGTGTGGTTGTTGGACGACGGAGAAAACAGAGAGAACTCAGGGAGAGAGAATCAGGGCACGAACCGAGTAAGAGAATGTTAATATAAATTAATGTTCAGTTGTAATGTTTTACTTGTGTCTGTATGCAGTGGCTTTGTGAAAGCCAGGTTGGTTTTGTATTGTTAATGCCAAGTTGTCTTTGCTTTATGTTTGGAAGTCAATATGCCTAGAATCTAGGTGCTAGCAAAAAGGTGGGAGGCATTATGGCTCCAGACATAATGATGCTAGTTAAGGTGTAAAAAGGTTTATGCTTTATCCAATGTGTAAAACCTCTCTCTCTCGGGTGAAAACATCACTCGGTTGAAATCAACATTTTCAGAACCAATTTTCGGTTCTTTTGTGTGGGAAACAAGAAAGAGACTGGCTTTTACAGAAAGAATGAAAACTTGTTCTCTCTTCTCCATTTTCATCTTGCATTTAACTTGTATAATCTTGTGTATGCTCTATCTTGATAAAACATTAAAAAAAAAAATCCAACAGAGAATCAGACCCTCTGGGGGTCGATCTGATTAGAAGTAAGCAGCTTGGCCATACCATAAAGAAATTTTTTAATGTGACAGGTACAAGGAGTTGTACATCACGTGTTATTATACAAATGGTGAAATATATGTGTTAAAAAATTAATAACTTAAAAAATAAAATTTTCCACTACTTAAATAAAAACACGTAATGTACCACTAGTATTTCAGTCACAATGAAAAATTTCTCTTAAATCCCCAACATTATAGTCTCTTTTCAGTGCCCAATCGTTATCCGATATTAACTTTAACACACATATTCCACTATTTGTACAGTGATACGTGATACCATCCGTCTACCAGGAAAATCTCTCAGCTATATTCTACCATTTGTATAGCCAGTCACATTGAACAATCTCTCGGGATTTAGGGGTTTGGGGTTTGGGCGGGAGGAGAGGTTGCAGGACTTGTCTTCGAAGGTTGAGAGAGATCCGAGAGCATGAGGTCCGTGAGGAAGTGAGGTGCGAGAGAGAGTCGGACCAAATCCAATCACCATTACTAATTCAACTATATAAAAAAAATTATGTTAAAATATTTATCGATTCGGTTTGGAATTGCTGAACAAAAGCATATGGGATTCTGTCCCGAACCCGTATCAAACTTTTTGGACCATCGGTTCAGGATCAGGTACCAGACGGTTTGGGATATTCGATTTGGGACAATTTTGGTTCAGTTTCTGGAATTTTTAGGTCTGATTCGGAACTTTCGGAAAATTTTCCAGATCTGTATATTGTGGGAGAGAGAACCAAACAAAAGAGCTACTGAGGCACGATCGAGTAGAGTTGAGCACATAAGATTGTAGTTACTTATGCTAATTTTGAATAAGAGATCTCACATAAGATTATGAAATGTTTCAATATAGGATTAGAGTAGAATTCAATCTATGGACTAACCTGCAAACCACCGGCAATTCTTGAGGATCAAGAGGCTCAGGACCCATCACACAAAACAAACTGTCCCTCCAATTGGCAAACCTTGACTGATATAGATCAAAGTTACTCCCAAACTTGACTTTCCTCATCAGCTCCCTACTATAGTACTCGGCCTTCACCTCCCTTGGCTGCTCGTGGAACCCACGTGCCGCTTCCAACATCTCGTCCAACACTCTCTGGGGAATCCCATGGTTCACCACCTGAAAAAAACCAACAGTCTCTGCGGCCCGCCGGACTCTGGTAACAACGTCATCGTGCCTGCCGACAGTGTCATCAAGGTCCACGACAGGAATACTGAAATGGGCTTGGGTTGGTTGGCGGGAACTTGGGTTGTCGCCGGCGGAATCTTCCGGCGGCCGGATGAAAATGGGTGGGATTTTGGTGATTCCTTTGTCAACGATCCCTTTGACACCAGCTTTGGATTGGTCAAAGGCCTTTAGTTGTTGAAGGCTGTCTTGGTTTATTGAGTTCCCGGAGATCATTTTGGATGTATTTGTAAAATCTGGTTACATTTTTGGGACTTCAAGATGTAGAAGCTTTTTTCAAGGCTTACACATGCTTCACAGGATGACAATTCACTTCCACGTGTTTTCATTGCTGCCACATGTTTAACTTGTTCGAGTGTAGTGCTTTTTTTTTTTTAATTTTTTTTTTTGAAACGTTATTTTATTATCAAACACAATATATTACATAAGAGAAAGCCCAAATACTAATATACAGATAAAAAAAATTAAGGGTTTATCTCAGTTTATTACCTTGAAGTTTTGTGGTTTTTAACATTTGGTAAATGAAGTTTTTTTATCCCATAGTCATACCTCAAGTCTTAATTTTAGGTCAGTTTCATACATCTGTTAAGTTTTTCTTTAAAACTTCTATTAACTGATTACGTGGCGCTCACGTGGACAATAAGTGAGCGTCATGTGTCAATATGGACCCACTTCAATAAAAAAAAAAAAAAAAAACACAAAAAAACAAAACCACAAAAAAAAGGAAAAGCCAAACCTATCCCTTACCCCCACAACCTCATTTTCTCTTATGCAAATCCTAGCACCTCTCTCTCTCTCTCTCTCTCTCTCTCTCTCTCTCTCTCTCTCTCCCCCACTCTCACTACCCTCACTCTCTTCCTCCCCCTTATTCACCATGAAAAGAAGAAGACGAGAATCACCCAACAAACCCCGCCAGTCTATTTGCCAATCTATCTGAACCCACACCCTACAAAACCCAGCATAAACCCAACACTGAAATGTGCTAGGTGGGAAAAGCAACAAAGATCTTCATTTCCATCAATTTGTCCCATTTAGGAGTGGGAGCCAAATTGGACTAGGAATTGGAATTAGAGGTTTCAAGGGAAATAGAGAAGACCCAGATGGCAATCTAATTCACCATTGGAGATACAATTGGATCTAGGTATTTGCACGGTGCAGAACTCAGATTCATTCACAATCGAGCCATTGCAGAAGAAGGCTTAAGGTTTGGGCTCGTAGGCGGCAACGTTGGCCAACATCCACACGTACTGGCAGAGGCTGGTGACCTCGGCGAGGATTAGGAGGGAAGAGAATGGCAGCTACACTGTGCGAGGCGACGTAGTTGCATGTGAGGAAGATGAAGAACGTGATGAGGATGACGGCAAGGGTGTTGTGGGCGAGGAGAACAAGGGAGTGGAATTGGAGAAAAGAGAAGAGAGAAAGGATGGAAAGGGTGAGGGACGGGTGGGCTTATTTTTTCTTTTTATTTTTGTGTTTTTGAATTTTTTTGAATTTTTTAATTTTGAAGTAGGCCCATATTGACACGTGGCGCTCACTTATTGTCCACGTGGGCACCATGTCATTAGTTAACAGAAGTTCTAACAGAAAACTTAACGGATGCATGAAACTATCCCAAAATTAAGACTTAAGGTATGACTCTGGGATGAAAAAACCTTCATGTACCAATTGTTGAAAACCACGAAACTTCAGGGTAGTAAATTGAGATTAACCCAAAAATTAACCTCCGTAAGAGTTCAAAACATAAAAAACAACAAAGCAAACTTTAAACAATGAAGCAAACTACTAGCAGCATTTAACCATTGCCGCTGTCGAAAAATCTCTTACCCACCAACAGAAACAAAGGTCTGTAACACACCTCTAGGAACAAGCTAAACATGGCCCCCAACACAGAATCCCAAAACGGGGCTCCAAACACTACCATCGAACACCACAACAATAGCAACCATAAATCGAAAAAAGGTAGTGGGAAGAAGCAACCCACTAGCAATAGTGTCATCAAGGGAAAACCGAATGAAAAAGGTGGTGTGAACACCTGAGCAAAAGCTCTATGCACTTTAGGATAGAGCCGATTAGGATGAAGATGAAGGTGAATTGTTGAGGAAAGTAGGGCTGGAAGAAAAGGGGAAACAAAAAAAAATGTGACAAAGGGAAAAGAGGTGGAAAAATGGTGGAAGCAAGGGGAAAAAAGAGAATTGGCAAAAAGAGAAAAAGTGGAAAAAGGTAGAAGAAATATGTAAGGAAGGTGGAAAGGAACATGGAAACAAGGGGCTAGAGACGGAGAAAACGGGGGCATAAGGGGTTGGAGGGAAGTGGCGGACTGGCCCTGGACTAGGGAAAATAGGCGCTGAAGGAGAAGGAAAGGAAAAGAAAAAAGAGAACGAGGAAGAAGAGGGCTGCCACCAACCCTGGCCATAGCTAGGGTCAGCGGCTACGAGAAGGAAGAAGCAGAGGGACGGTCACACACTGGTGGGAAAACTCTCACAAGTAGAGAAACGCTCTCACCCAGGAAAAATAGATATTAAAGGGTGATGTAGTTTTGTGTAGTTTGTTATGCCTTAAACTGAGAACCATACAAAGCAATAAATGAAATAACAAAGACCACAAAAACAATTTCAAAGTTACTCTGATATAGGAGCATCTCTCTATCAACAGAAGCTTTTATTAATTACCAAACAAATACAAAAGAATTCACAAACTCATAATAGCTCTCAAGTACACAATGAATGCCTCACATTTTCTGATTTTTCAAGTTAGTGATTATTGGTATATGGTTTTGTGGAGTGTTGAGAATATTGCTCTTAATATAGTGATGAATATTGGAGTTAATGTTGGAGTTAAAAGCAACTAAAGCAGATTACCAAGATATGATTTTATTGCTGTAAGTTTGTAACTGACCCTTAACTTAGAAGGTTAGAAGGTTTGTAGGGTTGATTTTTGTGCATGTTTGCAGGGTTCTTAATATCTTTTGTAAGGATGCAAAGAGATGTCCTACATCAGAAGTTTACCAAACCTTGCATGTGTTTATCTAAAATTAGGCTATACTCATATTGTATTTGGTAGAACCTCGACTTCATTCATCTTAGGCCTTGCATAGTTGCACTGTATTTTTTTTATTGTTGAATTTCGACGTGCAACTTCTAGAGTGCAAGAGTTGCATTAGTGTTCCTGAGTGCCATATCCTTATGATCCCTTCTATATATTTGGCTTCTATGTAACTCCAGAAAGACTCCGTTGTTAGGGTTCGTCAGTTCCAAATCATGTGCTTGGAGATAAAAGTACATTTTTTAGGGTTGAATTGTTATATTATTCTTCTCTCTAGGAGAAATATATATAATCATATATGAGGCCCTATAAATTAGGAAACAAGAACCCCAAATATACAATGAATCAATCATGTAATCCTATTCTAATTACATTCCTAAACCATAAAGTTGACTCACGTCAACACTCCTCCTCAAGTTGGTGCGTAGATATCACCTAAGCCCAACTTGTCGAGTGAGTCTTGAAAAACCTTCACCGACACTGCATGAGTTAACACATCAGCTAACTGTTCTTCAAACTTCGCATACGGAATGTCAATCAACTTAACTTCCAACTTCTCCTTGATAAAATGTCTATCCACCTCCACATGTTTCGTACAATCATGTTGGAGTGGATTATTGGCTATCTCTCTTGCTGCTTGATTATCACAGTATAACAACATAGACTCTCAAGGCTTAAATCCTATTTCAATGATAAGAATCCGGATCCATAACAATTCACAAATCCTATGTGCCATACCTCAATATTTTGCCTCGGTTGTGGATCTGGCCACCACGTTTGCTTTTTACTTCTCCAAGTTATGAGATTTCCTACTACAAATGTAAACTAGCCTGACGTGGAGAGACGATCGATAATGTTTCCAGTCCAATCAGCATTAGTATACCTTTTTATCTCCATATGTCCATGTTTCTTGAAAACTACTCCTTTCCCAGGTGCACCTTTCAAATAACTCAATATACACATTATGGCTGCCATATGATCTTTACTAGGAGAGTGCATAAATTGACTTACAATGCTAACGACATATGCAATATCTGGCCTCGTAAGTGATAAATAAATCAATGTTCCTACTAACCTTTAGTACCTCTCTTTGTTAGTCGGAATTTGATCCAGGTATATTACCAGGTGATGATTCTGCACGATGGGGGTTTCTGTTGGTTTACATGCCAACCTCCCAGTTTTAGAGAGAAGATCTAGCATATATTTTCATTGACACAAGTAAATACCATCACGAGAATGGGCAACTTCGATTCCAAGAAAGTATTTCAAGCCCCTTAGATCCTTCATCTCAAACTCCGAGGAAAGATAACTTTGCAGTCTCTTAATCTCTTCTGTATTATCGCCAGTGACTACCATATCATCCACATAGATTATCAACAAAGTGACTTTACCTCTCATGCGTTTGATAAACAGTGTATGGTCTGCATTCCCTTGTTTGTAGCCATAACTATTCATTACTTGGGTGAACCTCCCAAACCATGCTCTGGGTGATTGTTTGAGTCCATAGAGGTTTTTCGAAGTCTGCACACTTTTCCAGCTCCATTTGGTACTTCGTATCCAGGTGGAAAAACTGTTGGAAATGTGCCCTAAAACCAATCATATGATGATACTTTACGGACATTTCAAATGTTAAACTAATCTAGTTTAACATATAAAGGGCAAAGATTATTGTTTGAGCCGTCTCATATAAATGTTATATGCTTAAACGATAAAGTCCAAGGAATATGTGATTGGGAGAATGCAATCTAATGAAGTTAGATTAATGAGACCATTCTTTCGTAGACACATCCTAAATGTTCCTGATCATAGGATTACCAATTGGGCATTGACAGTCCGTTAAGATCAGTACGTACTGTGTCTTCTCTCAGGGAGAGTGACTAGTCTCGAGTCATTGGTGTGTGTGACATCAAGACAAGTACGTAGGTGCTCAATAAGAGAATGAGTTCACTGAACGTGATCAACGAAGAGTTCTTATATTCCATGTCACATGAGAACTCATGGTTGGGATAATGCAAAGTAGTCCTTTGACCTGAGGCATCACAGTTGTCTTGTGGTTAAGTCCTTAATCTTTGATTATGTCTAATTCACCCCCTCGGGGTGTCACGGCATCGTTGGGGTTAAGCCACTTAGCTATGGAGACAAGTGAATGCGCAACAAGGGATCTCTAACCTTCAAAACAGTTGAGGGAGAATACTCTATGATATGATTTGGAATCTCTGGCCAGAGTATGAATGAGATTGGGG